GGATATTATTAACGTGTTTGATTAATATTATCATTCATTTATTATCTTATTTTATTTTCTTTTTCTTTATTAATTTATATGATCTTCCAGAAGAACCACTAAGATTATATGTATATTATTCTTTATGTGTTTTATTCTATTTATTTATATTGGGAAAACATGTATTTAAAGGTTGTATTTTTTCTTTAATTATCTTTAGAGTTGTCTGTTCCACTTTCCATTAATAAAGTTTTCCTTTAATAATGATAAACTATTAATGACCAATATGTTCCTTTACTTAAACCATTATACATGATTATAAAAGCTAAACACCAGAAAAGATTAAAAAATTTACCAATGCAATTGCCTTACAAAAAGATTAAAATGGCTCAATAACCAGACAAGCTTCTTATTGAATTATATCAGTATAACTTGTGATTAATGCTTTAGTCTTTTTGGACAAAGAGATAATCATTTTTCAGAGAAAAATAAATAGATCAATCAAAGCAAAACTTGAAATCAAATATATTATCCTAACAAAATTTATATTTATATGCCAACCTTAACATAGTCAAACTTCAATACCATTATAATCTAATCACCATAAGAATTCTTATTATCAAACTTACCAATTATAAAATTATTTTATTTATATATAAAAAAAAAAACTCTTTTCAATAATACTTCAATTTGTAACAAATTTTCTTTTTTGATAATGACAGGAATAATAGACAGTAAACAATTAGCAAGAATCTTTTTTTAGAAAAGAAATTTATCTTAATTTACTGCAGGAGTCAGAAAGTTGATTAACTCTCTATAAAGAGATAGATGTTTTGAAAAGGACAGAAATCTCTTCAATTAAATCTTTTGCTTTACTAAATAAAACTTATATAAGTAACTTTAAACAAAGAAAAACATTTTACTTATTCAAATATATTACTACTTAATATACTACAAAACCACACACAATATTGAACAGAATCTTGCTGCTTAATCTATTTTCTTTACTATTTTAAAGAGTCATAGATTACTTTTGCAGCCATACTAGCAATAAAATTCAATATTAAAATCTGTTATTTTCTTGTTTCTATAACTTAAGCAATCCAGAGCATTCAATAGAACTAATTATTAAACTTAAGAAATTTGTCGCTCTCTTTCTATTTTACTTCAACATTAAAACTACTCATAACATATATATCCATAAACAAAATATTAAAACTATAATAGAAAGAATTGCATATACATAGAGGCTATATAACTCCTGTTTCAACTTCCAACTGGTTTTTTTCCATTCCAACTATATTTTCAACAATTAAAAGAGATTATATATTGATTTTTAAAAGATTTAATATCAAATTCTAGGTATTTCTACTTAATAGTTCTATTAATCTTATCAAAATCTATATCAATGCTATCTCTTCACTAACTATTAAAGGTCAGTACCATTAGTTGAACAATAAAAAAAATAATTTCTTGCTCATGCTCATTACAATTATGCATCAAATAAATAAATATCATCAATCTCAAATCTGTTTGGTATATCTTATATATAAACTCAAATTATTTACTTAACAATATTTAGGAGCTCTTAGACCTCTTCTTAGCCATACTTCAAACAAATTTCCAAATAACCATTTTACTACACCCTAACTATTCAATCAATTAATATATTTCTTTTTTATAACAAAAATAACAACATCTTTTAGTTTCAAACCAGTCAATATTTTAATTTATACTTTGTACTTTAACTTTTCGAATATTTTCTGGCCAGTACTCTATTAAATCATTATCAACTCCTCAACTTTCTCAATACTTAAAATCTACTGTTACACTTGATTTTCACCCAAGATCTTTAATATTTCTTGTCTGATTTTCACTAGCATTGACTCTTGAAATGTTAACTGTTCTAGAATAGTTTTGTAGTACAAATCTGCTATTGCACCTTTGATATCTATTGTATCTATTGTATTTTTACCATTTCTAAAATATTTCTATTTTATTTTATCTTTACTTTCTATTGTTAGCATGGGAAAAGGTATGGGTCACTGGAATCGACATTTGTTACATGACATGACGCGATCCATCAGGCTCAGTATTAAAAAGTCTAAATAGTTTAAGTGAGGATTTGCAGGATGCAATGTAGATCAGCATATGTGTCGCGGTGAGTATAAATAGGAAGGGTTTAGCTAGTTAAAATAGGGAGTTAATATTCACCTTGTATAAACTTGTAATACTTGCAATTGCATCACTATAATTAATAAACTTGCCTTAATTGATTGTTTGCCACTTATAGAATCTTGAGGAACCACAACGGCTTGTGATATAGGATTAGACCGGTGACTATAAAGAAGGGAGTTTATTAACAAGTGCCTCTGGTTAGTAAGTGACTCAAGCCCCTACATATCTATTATTACATGATAACCTAGTCCAGATTAGTGACAGACTTGCTGTATACTGATAACACTATATTATTTTTGCCAAAGTATTTATCTATGTAAATGCTACTATAGCTGAATATTCTGATGAAGATAGTATTTATATCTTAGTCTATATTTTTATCATAGCTTATATTTATCCTGTACAAAAATATTATAACTTAAATATGTATATAAAGGCTCCAATTTTGTCTAGGAATTGGCAGGATTGAACATATATTTTATTGAATAAACATTTTGATCTTTACAAAACAAATCACTATTGCTTCTTTCACCTAATCTCATATATCTCAGAATTGTATTAATTATTATGCCTCTAGGAACTTTAGCATATTACATTAGTTTCATTCATCTAAAGTGTCTTACTGCTACTAGTTCTTTGTTTTTATCTTTCTCCTAAGATAAAAACAATATATAACACCATCTTAGCAAAATTCTCAAATTAAAAATCTCAGATTATTCAAATAAACTAATAAAAATTATCTACAGCTAGGGTTTCTAATGGTACCATTTCAGTATCAAGTCAGTACTGGATTTACTATGAGTTTAATATAGTAGGTCAGAATCTATATATTAACTTTATTATAAGTTGATGCCAAGTTGGTACCATTTTGGTACTCAATTTGGAATCCTATTTACAGCAAACTTATTATTGAATATAATACTCTTACAGCAATAAAAAGCATTAACAATATATAATATAAGCTAAAAAATTATCAATTATCACATGTAACCATTTCTAAAATTAATGTATCAATTTCTCAATGCTTTCTATCCATATTTATATCTTTACTTTTATTTCATTCTTTTCAAATTCATTTTCTATCTTCTCAAGTATGTAAACTTTTTCTAGTTTTTTTGTGAAATTTTGTCTATTTTAATTTGATTTTAAATTAACAAATATTTTCAAAACATCTTTTAAAGCAGAAACTTTAACTTAGACCAATTTCCTAACTGATACAAAAAATATTCTATCAAACTAATTGATCAAGAAACATATAATAAAGTCATCCAATTTTTCGATTAAACAATAATTAAGGATGCAATTAACAAATTAACAATACTTATGCTACAAGTATTATCCAATGAATTAAATTTATAAATTGCTATATCAACTTGTTTAATATCTTTCTAAGCTAATCAGACATCTACAGATCTTCATTTTTTAAAAAATTAAAAACTATTATCAAAGTGAACAATAAGCTAAAAGCTTATAATTAAACAAAATATAAAGATTTTTAACATTCAGAACAAAACTTTTTGCAAATCAACTTTTAATCAGAATCAAATTATACAAATAATACTTAGCCTCTATTTTGATAACTTGTTCTTAAGATATAATACACATTCCAAGAACTTTCCACATATTTTTTCATGCATTTACAACAAACCTCTAATTAATAAAAAGAAAACCAAATTTGAAAATCTTATTCTAGATCTGAATTCCAAAAGCATTAAAGTTGCCAACTTTATTGGCACATGTAAGCTAACATATAACAACTTACTTAATCTAGCCATTAGCAAATTCAATTACTTATTTAATATCCTCCAGAAAAAAGAATTATTTCTAATTATATTCTTAAAATCTTATACAAAGCTTAGAAATCATGATCTGTTATAGCAATTACATTATCAGCATCTGATATAAAATAGAAAAAAACTCTCAATACAAAACTATCAAACACAGATTCAAATTACAATTCAATATTTAATACAATTTTAAATCTATTAAATACATCATATAACTATACTGACAAGTTTATTTTCACCCCAGCAGTAACATCATTATTTTGAACAGGCATTGACCATTCAATACTTTTGTTGTAAGTCTACTTCCATAGTGGTACCTGGTTTCAATAGATTTGTTGCAATAGGATACAATTAATTTACTATATAATGATTGTTAATATAATGACAGTAAATATTTTTATTTAAATAAAGTTATGCATTTAATGCCTGTTTGTAATAAAAAAAATTAAAAATTTGAATATAATAACTTTGGTTTTTTAACTTATTTTTTAAAAAAAGATATAAATAAATAACTATTTATTTATTTTAATCAGCTGAACCTTATTAAATATATATTTTTATTTAATTAATATATGTATTTACTATCTATAAACTAAATTGTATTATTAGATAAATTATGTCATTTAATAAAATAAGCTTAATTATGAATTTTTGAAATTTTCCGTTTTTTTTTAAATTATGTTATTAAATAACTATGTCATTGAATTTAAATTTTTATTAATTAAATAAATATATTTTTATATTTTTATATCATTAATTTTAAATTTATAAATTAAATATAAATTACTACATTATTTAATTATTAAGTATTATGGTTAAACTTATAGTTGTCAAGTTTAATGAAATTTAATAGTAATGTAGAATTTGATTATAATTTCAATTTATGATGTATAATCGAAAGATTAGACATTGTCATTATCGTTTAAAAATTTCATAAAGATTGTTAATTGTAAAACAGATTATTTTACCTTAAGTCCAATATTTTAGGGTAATAACCAAGAGTGTCTCTTATGAATAGTATCATTATACACAATACTATATTCTGTTTTTACATAATCACCAGCGCTCTACACACTTCATCGCCCGTTTATGTCCCTTTTCCGCGGCCATTCTCAAATATTTCAATCCCTCTTCTATGTTTTTTGTCCCACCAAATCCGTTATAAATAATATTGCCATAACTATACATTCCGCATATATTTCCATTATCTGCCGACTTTTTATAATACTCAGTTGCCTTTCGAATATCCTTCTTAACACCATTTCCGTTTACAAGACAATCTGCGTAGTACAGTTGAGCGTCTGCGACTTCTTCATCCGCGCTTTCTTTAAAGTATTTTATCGCCTCTTGAATCTTATTTTCTTCCCTTTCCACATCATTATGAAAAAATATTTTATTGTAATATAGAAGATAACCCATCCAAAATTTAGCAATTGGAACGCCAAATTTAGCGTATACATTAAAACACTCCCAGGCCCTTCCTATATCACCATCTTCTTTTCTGGATTCTTCTATTGCCTCATCTAGTTTTATAACCGTCTTAAAGATGGAATCGTCAAATCCCACACTGCCATCAAATGTGTCTATAGGTAAGATACTGTCGAAGCTTCCAATTCTCTGACTCTTGTTTTTGCTCATACATGTCCCGTAAGATTTCGCAAATTGTTGGAATGTCTGGTCGTTTCTCAGGTTCGCGATGTGTGACTTTAGGGTAAATCATGAAAATATAATATTAAAATAACCGTTAGAGGTAAAAAAACAAATACTGTAATCGAATAGTATTAAAAAAAGACACACTTTCTCTAAACAAACTTTTCCATCTATCTGGCAAATTGTTATTGGAAAATTCTTCGCGCTCGTTTTCAGTAATCAATTTGCAAATTTTTTTATAATCGGTCACATCCGAATACGGAACTCTTTCTTCTGCAATTTCCCAAAGAAGCATTCCGAAACTGAAGAATAAAATAAAAATTACGTTTTAGCAATATGTTTAAAAGGTCTATAGTTTATTGGAAGACTCGATACCTATAAATTTCACACTTTGTGTCATATTTTAGATTCTTGATCATTATCTTTTCGGGAGCCATATATCGCAGGTTGTCGGTGGGTAAGTTTCTTTTTAACGTCGATTTCTCAGATTCCTTACTCCAATCAAAGTTTGCAATCTTTGCCTTATGATTATCCGTTACTAGTATATTCTCGGAGTTAATATCGTGATGCAAAATTCCAGAGGCATGCAAAAAATTAAGCCCACGACAAATATCAAGAGAGAATTGTATTTTCCTTGAACATTCAAGAGGACCAAAAACTTCGTAATATTCTTTTAGATTTCCATACTTGGCCCATTCGATAACAATGTAAATTTCTCTGTCGCTCTCAGCAACACCATAAAATGTAATTATATAAGTAGAATTTTTAAATTCCTGAAGAATTGCAATTCGTTCGAACAAATTTTCTTTGGCATCATTTGACATGTTTGCAGGAATCTTTTTAAAAGCGAAAACATGATTATTATTGTAACGGCTTACTCGCTTTTGAATTCGAGTGCCAGGTTTTTCGTATATTGTTTTATAGTCTTTTATATCGACTCTTTTAGGCATGTTTCTCGGGGGGGCCGTTCTTGGTTTCTTGGCTTCTTCGATCAAATTCATAATTTTTTTTGATTGTTCAACTACTCTAGGATTATATTCAAGAAACTTTTAAAGACCAAGGTACGTTAACATGATGACCTAAAAACTTGCTACTGTATTACAATAACTGACAAATATATTTACCTTTTCATATTCGTGAAAGTCACGTTTTAAAAAATTGTTATAATTCCTTCTATATGGATTCGGTGAAAAATATAACCTCTTTGAACTTTCATCGAGCTCATCTATCAGTTGAAAGAACTTTTGCTCGATTTCCTCATGTGATTTATAATTTGCCAAACCGGCAGTCTGAGAGACATTACTGACAAATTCTATGATTTTATCTAGGGTGACTTTGAAACTTTGAAACTTTGGTAAAGTGTGCTCATCGGTCAAAAAATCACTATATCTCTCTCTATTAAGTCTTATCGCCTTGATAGAATAATCCGTAGCCAATACCCTGTCAACAAGGGTGTTGCAAACCCATTTAAAATGGATTGCTCTATCATTTATTTTATTGATTTCATGGCATCTCTTGTGAATTTCATCAATTATACCTACGTAATTAGCATAGGGATCATTTAATACTTTTAACCTAATCTTTTCAATAATATGAAATCTCATTGATATTGATACAAAATTAAGTTGTTCACACACACTACACTATGTGC